TTTTTAATTTTTTTTTAGACATTTTAATCATTGAATTAACCCGAACCGTTATTTTTGGAAAGAGAGTATAAACCTTACAAAAATGATTAAAGTCACTTAATTCACTGGATTAGGTTCTGTACACAGCATGTTTGGTGTTTAGTTTTTTAATATTATTTATATTTTATAAATTTAAATTTTTTTATAAAAATTTATATTTTTTAATTTTTTTTAATTTTAAAAAAATCTTAAATAATAAAATTTTAAAAATTTTAAATTTATACTTTTTTATTAACTTCTTCTTTACTTATTTTTTTATTTAATTTTTTATTTTTAAAAGTAATTTTTAATTTTTTTTTAATAAAAATTTAAATTTATCACTCATAAATAGTAAAAAAAATAAAAATTTTTACAAATTCTACCAAACATGCTTTAACTATGATTGTAATGCTCTTTTTTTGGTCCCTTTCTTTATTATTATTTTTTTTTTGAGTTTTACTTCTGCGTTAGAGGTGATTTATAATGTTCCACGTATAATCTTAAAAAAGGCGCTCCTAATGCAAATATCAAATAATTTTGTGTATATATAAATCTATTAGATTAAATTAAATACAAAAAAAATCTATTAATGAAATTACTGCTCTCAAGAGTTTTGCTAAAATAAGTACATGTTAATTTAAAAATAGTAATTTGAAAAGCCGCAAAAAAATATTAATTAAAAATTAATGTCTAAAATTTTAATATTTGTAATAACAAACTAACTCTTTAATGTTTCAATAAAAAAAAAAGTAAATTGAAGAAATGACCTTAAATCTTGGTGTACTCACCTCTAATCAAATTATTTGAGAAAATTCTAATATTTGCAATAATAGATAACTAACCTTTTGATGTATCCAAAAAAAACCCCACATACAAGTTTTCTTTTTCTTTTTCTTTTTCTTTTTTTTTTTCTATTTTGAGCAACCAAAATTAAGAAAACAATATGTTATTATGCTATAAACCAACGATCTATTGATCCGAGTGAAATAAGTTCGATTTTTCTTAAATAAGATTTCGAGTTTGAATCTTATAAATTTAAAAACGAGCATTGGTAAGTTTCTCTTTTATAAAGTTTGACGCAATTCAATTTTAAACTAATTAGTATTTAATATGATTATTAAATATTGAGAAATTAGTAAAAAAAATGTTATTATGTTATATGCAATTTATCCTAGAGTATTCATATATTTAAAAAAGCGTTGGACAACTCAAACGATATAACATAAACAATTGAGTAAGGGGATGAGTTTTCTAATATTGAGTGTTGTAATCTTTTTTTTTTTTTTTTTTTACTAAACCCCTTACTTGGAAGTTATATTATATTTAAATTAATTCAAAATTGAGTTGAATCGAAACTTATAAATAGAAATTTTCTTAGTATTTATTTTTTTATTTACAAAATTTAAATTTAAAACTTTATTTAAGAAAAATTAAATTTTTTTATTTAGATTAATAAATTATTGATGTATTGTTTCATTATTTAATAATTTATATTTTATAATATAACGTAATTTAGGGTATAAAACAGAAAACTCTTTCATGTTATAAAAACTCTTCCAAATAAAATAATGCTCCATGTAAGGTGCATGACGTATGGTACCTATTATGATGTTCCCCGAACAATTCTTTTATCCATTTCACCCCCTTCATGGAAACGTGATCAAGGAAAATTTGATAATCCTATTTCATTTAATCCCTGCATCTATATAATGATTGAATGGATATATCCATTTGATATTTGTCTAGGCTACAAAATGAGAAATTATTTTACATTAAGAAGTTCTTCCAAATAAAAAAATGTTCCAAGCAAGATCTACATAACAAATGCTATCTATTATGATGTGCCTCTAAAACTCTATCCATTTCACCACTTTCATGGAAACATGATCAGAGAAAATCTGATGCTCCCATTCTATTCAGTCAAGCCTTGCCTTTATATAATGACTGAATGGATACATCTATTTGATTAATAATCATTTATCTTTAAAAATTTTTAAATTGAGATATAAGTTCGTTAACAAATAAATTTATGACATAATTCATCAAAAATGATTAATCATTTCTCTTTAAAAATTTTAAACTAAGAATTAAATTCATTGACAAATTTATGACATAATTTATAAAAAATAATATAGTTATAATATTACGTAATATCTCATAATATTATAAGTTTAAAATACGATATATTATTATATAATTAAGTTTTTTACTTAAAATTTTATTTATGATATTATATGTATTAATTTATTTAATAATATATTATATTTATTTAATATCATATTATAATTATAAATTTATAATTTTATATAAAGTTATACATATAACAGTTTTCGCTAATTTATCTACGAATATAAAAAAATTAGAATGAACCTGACGCTGTGGGTTAAGTGGTTTTACCCACTCTTGTAAGGTTCACATCTTTCTCCGTAGGAGCAACGGTTCGATCCGACCATGATTAAATGTACAAAAAAAATATATAAAGATTAAAATACCATACTTTTAAATTACCTTTAATATGTTATCACTATATGGTAACCCACGGCAAAAACTAATCACCCTCTACAAGGATCTGGATGGATCCAGCAAAAGAAGCCAAAACCCAATCAAAATCCAAACAAGAGAAGCAAAAATAAGCAACGATGTCCTCCAAGCAACACAAATACAATCCTCACTAAACTCCAAAACCCACTAAAATAACTCTTCTACGTGTGCAATTTCATCACCACTTTTATTGTTGTTCCCAATTGGAACCCCAAAAAATAAAATAAAATATTCCTATTGCTCCCCAGAAAGATCTGTCTCATTTCCGTTTCTCCTCCACATCTTTGGGTTTTCTGCTCCGTTTAGGTGGAATTTGGAGCGGTGGTGACATGGGTCCGGTCGTTTTGGCAACGAGCTTGAGCGTGTTGGCCGGGGCGGTTCTGGTCAAGTCGGTGATGGACCAGAAGCCCATGGCCGGACCGATTCCGAGGTGTGCCACATGTAACGGGACGGGAAGGGTTGCCTGTCTGTGCTCGCGGTGGTCGGATGGAGATGTTGGGTGTCGGACCTGTGCTGGGTCGGGACGTATGGCGTGCAGCAGCTGTGGTGGGTCTGGGATGGGGCGGCCCATCCCTGTTCAGCTCTCTGTGCGGCCGAAGAGCCGGAGCTCCTAACTGGGTTTGCTGCTTTACAAAGGGATTTCCAAAACTCTCGTATGGGTATTCATGGTTTTTTTGTTGGGATTTGATTACCTAATGTAATAGGTAAAGAGAGGGATGGGAGATTAGTGTCTGTAATCCAAGTATATTTAACAATATGTTATATTCAAATTTCAAAGTTCTTATAAAATCATGCAGTTTAATATCTAATTTTAGCTTCTATTTGGTGATTGAGAAAGATTTTAGATTGTATATATGGGTTGTTTGATTCATTTTCAATAGTGAAATTTCTTTAATTGCTCTTACTTTGTAAGGCAATAAATCACTGAAATGAACTCTGGCACCACTGAGTGCTGAATCAGCTAATATTAAGAAAATTTGGTTGTTTACTTCCAAATCATGGGAGTAGCCAAATTGATACTCAACAACTCAATAGTCTTGATCTGAGATCATCAAGTCTTTGCAATATTTGTTTTGGACAAGAATGAGAGTCTGAACTAGAGATTTAAGGTCACTAAGCCTTAAATTAAGCCATGAATCATTGGACAATAGGCTATAGGGTCAAGAACAAACATGTTTAAATCTCTTCTTAATGAGTTTCTTTTCTCCCTCATTTTGTGCTTTAAATTATCCCCTCATAGGGATGAACTAATTAGGAAAGTTTAGTCCTAAAAAGCTTGAAAGTTTAGGGATTAGTTTAATCGGTTTATCCCATTGTCATTTGTGTTTTGGACAACGTTGTTCAAGGGTGCATGGAAATGGGCACGTGATGTTTGGCCAGGTCGAGCCACCAATTGATTGAGCAAGAAGCTTCTGTTGTCTGGGTCAAATTGTTAATTACTCAAAAATAATTTATAAAATACACAAGAAAGTTGGCAGAAATGATGCATGACCAACTAACATGACACTCATCATTGGAAGGGATCTTGATGTCATGCCAAAATGGAGGGGGGATGAATTCTTACTAAATTGCATATTATGACTTGAAAAGGTAAGTGTAGGCGGCTATAGGCACATTTAAAATAATTTTGCCAAGGTATATTGGGAAATTCTTTAGCATTATCCTACTGAATTTTGCCTCTCAAAGCCGGTACTTCTTGGCTCTTGCCTATGCATTGCCCAGTTCAATTTATTGCTACATCTTGAACTTTCCTTGTGGACGGTGTCTCTGGAATTATCTAGCACATTTTTTCGTTGGGTGTTACGTGACTCTGAGTTTTGATATTGGGATATTACCGTTCCCTTTCTAATATTTTCCCTCGTTCTTAAGATCTCTAATTTAGAAGTTTTAAATTTTAATACTTGAGTTGTGCCTTGACCTGCATTTGGCTTACTTATATAATGAAAATTTAGTGAATTTAGCAAAAATGTGTGAGATCGATAAAGTGGAATCTATGAACACTTTTTTTTTTTTTGGGGCCAGCTATAAGCACACATTTGTTTTAGACTCGAATTTATATTCAAGGCATCTAAATCATACAAAGATATTTGTACATTGCCCTAGCATTCTATAGAACGCATACACAGAGGCAACACAATTCCTAACATTAGAAAACATCTCTTCAACTCCTTCCTCGGATCAACAAACATCACACATTAATCTCCATCTTCTTCTGTCTCACTTTGGAGTGAAAGCCTGTAACAAATCATCACAGTTGTTAAACAGTTAGGATCCACTTACATACGTATAAGTAAATGTATGACTCTGCATGTACTTACAGCAAAAATGTTGGCGTGACCGGGATCGGCAAGGTGGGCGTAGAGGTTGTCAATGGGTCCAGTGCCGGTGTAGATGTGCTGGAACCATGCACCCATAACGGCCAACATAGCCAACCTCCCATTTTTGATCTCCTTAGTCCTCAACTCCTTCACCTGCTCAGGGGACCCGCTTCCCCAGCCCAGTGGGTCGAACCAGAGCCCACCTGGGTACCCAACATCAGTCCCGGTGAGCTTGTTGTTGGGGAAAATTGGGTCTGTGTTAACACAGCCGGGCTTGAGGATGTCGGCCCACCGTCTCCCTTCCGCCCATCCAATGAAGATGAGCTCGACTATAAACAGAGTGGTGGTGTCGGTGAAGTATTCCAGCTCTCCGGCGGTGTACCAGGAAGGGGTGTTCAAAATTCCGAGCTTTGTAAGGAACTCTGGGATGAAAATTCCGGCAGCACCCAACATTGCCCATCTGCAGTGCACGATCTCCGATTGCACGTTCCACCTCAGGGTCTCAGGATCAGATCCTGTTCAATAAAATCCCATTTCACCATTTACAAATCAATAAGGATTTACTTTCCCGGGAACCAAACAGAAACTTATATTAAACTTACCTAGGCCTAGAGGATCAAAACCAAAGTCTCCAGGGAGGCTGCAAAAACAGGGGTTCGAGACAAAGTTAAGAAACAGAGGCACTTTGGGGAGGAAAAATAAGAGTTCTAAATTAGAGTATTCTGTTACTGAACCTGCCGTCTAGCCATGGAGGAGGGGTGCTGCCGGGAAACCAGAGGGGTCTATCTGGTTCGGCAGCAACACAAACTGGGGCCAATCTTCCTGTGGCCGGACGTGTGGTGTATTTTCTTGCTCTGAGTTTCTTCCCACTAAGGAAAGGAGTCTTGGTTGTTGCTGCAATTGATCCAATCTTTTGGGAAGAGACGGCGACAGCGGCAATGGCGGAGGAGGCGCAAACGGAGGCCATTTTGGGCTGAAATTGGTGGTGTGAGTGGTGGTGGATATGAGAATCCGTTAATGAATATCAGGAGGCTTATCTTGGAGGATAGGAAAGAGTATCTCCAATTGGCTGATGGACTGCCACGTGTCATTCAAAATCTGACATCAGCATCTGCATCCCCTAATCGTTTGCCACGTTGGATTTAATCAGAAAATTGGTGGCTCATATTGCAAGTTCATCTGCCCCACATATCTGAAAAAATCAACAGAACAGAATCCTAACTTAATGGGCTTGGCCCATTGGGCATGTCAAGAAGGAAAAGTCCAATGTCAAATCACAAAAGGAAAAGAAAGCCCGATGGATCTGGATGGTTTATGGGCCGATGATGAATCAACTGCAGTGGTTTTCAATTTTTTTTTTTTTTAATTGAAGGGAAAATCTTAAGAAAAAAGTTAATGTGACCAATCATGTATAAGGGATGCTTAATTGGTAAAAGAGGATTTTGAAGGTAGCATGATGGATGCCACAACTACTTTGTTCTTATCTTTACAATTGAGGCAAAATCATAACTCCCATGTGTGATTTTGAGTCAATTTGAAGTAGATAAAAAAGCAAAGGCCCACAACCCACATATTCTATGTCTTCATCCATCAATTTGTTCCTCTAATGCTATTGGAAAAACCTTTAGAATATCCATTGATCTTTTATCTCTTCTCAATCTTGCTAGAGAGTTTTCTTCTCCATCCCCCTTTTTCCTTTTCAATCAACAACGAAAAAATCTAAAGAATTTGTAATCAATTGTGACATAGAAAATTCAAATCTAAAACCTTCAACAGTCTTAACACGTCAATTATAATGTTTTATAAGTGTACTTATTGTGTTCTTAGGATACATATTCATTGTGAATCTAATATATTCCAAATAAGCTCTTTTTCTATTTTTTTTTTGAGGTGAGAAAAGAAAAAGGAGTTGCAAAATTGCAATGCATAAAAGGAGTGGTTACTATCCAACAAAATGATTGTGACTAGAAATTAAGGAAGGTAAAATTAAACAAGAAGATTAGAGTGAAATAATTATGTTTTAAAGCTTTATTTATGGAAGCAAATAGTTGGTTAATAAAATCCAATGCAATTAGTGAATGTTTGAGGTCTACAAACAATATCAAACCCACTTCCTTTTCTCCAATTTTTTCACTTAAAAAAGCTTTGGATTCCTCATTATTCTTCTTTTCTGTCATGCAGGCATGTGCCTGCTATTAATACCATAATCATGTCTTACAAGAATTATAACATCAAAAAAACAGCCTCTTAGTTGTGTCCCCATAAGAATTATGTCATGCAAAAACATCCTTATTTCTCCCTTATGCAGGAAAAAAGTGGGGTCTCAATATTAGATTTCAACCATAATTTCTTCACCTCCTCATTCTTGAGTCCTTTTCTTCCTCAGTTGCGGAGTCAAGAAGGAAACACCCAGTCCACGGCATAATTGACCGGTGTTGATGGAAGAGAAGGAAGAAAAGATGAAACATTATGTACACTTTGTGATGAGTCCTTGTTCTGAAAGTACTAAATAATGCAACATTTGGTTGTTATAATGACAGGAAAAGAAGATTATTGTGTCGGATTCTTCCCCATCTTTCCGGGACCCCAGATATTGTCATGCTGTTCATGATCATCAGCTTGTGTGTGTTCCTTATTTTTCATCATTACACTTTCACATGCTGCTCCTATTATTGCACGAAAAAAAATTAGATTTTGCTTTGCCTTATTAAATCTTGTCTCAATCAAATGTCATTACTTGGATTATGAGTGCATTGCAAGAACTGCTAAATATAGGATTCTTGAGTTAGAGTAACAAAGTAACCAGTATGATTTTGACGCCGAATTCTTTTCACCCATTATACACCCATTAAAGTATTAAACCCATATCATCGTACAAGATTCTCATATGATCAATAGTTAAAAAGAATTCAGCCGATCTGTTCAAGTTGCGTCTTTTTGACCTTCAAATCAATTTTCCTTAACAGAATGAGAAACACAAAATTATTTAGATCAACGAGGTTAATTTTAATTAATTACTTGTAGATTAAGCTGCTAACTGTCCGGCCATCTTTTAAGTTAAGATTTTTAATGGTTGACTTGATATAATTATAATTAATTAAACCCTAACTGTAACGAGTTTATGTATTCATAAAGCAAAAGGCATGCCTTTCCACATGTGTGCTAATCCATGCAGATTCTTGTTTTTTAATTTCAATAAATTTGCCACTTATGTAATTTACACAATTTGTTAATTACTATATATTTTCTACGGCTGCAAAATGTTACAAGGAATTTAGTTTTTTTTTACTAAATATTGATTATAAGAAATTAAATAATAGAATATACTAAGGAATCAATTATTTTGGGAGATAAAAAATTAATAATACAAGTTTGAACATAAAAAGTCAGATAATTTTTAAATTTGACAAGCAAGGACAACTCATGCGGTTCATCAAGATTTAGTATAGCTAATCAGCATATTTTATTCTGACCTTTTTTGGGTTTCACAATATAATTAAATTTATAAATCATGACAATCGCCAGAGTATAGACACAGCATTATAGCACATCTGACTTTAATTAATTATTTACTTATCATCATCAGACCCTTAAATATGATGATCGAATCTACCTTAATAATTTTGTTAACTGCACCTAAGATACCCACTACTAATTTTTTAATCGATTAAGGATAAAGTTTAATTGTAGTACAAAAGATATTCCAACCACTATGTAACGTAGTATATATTAGAATCTTACCCATTCGTATAAATTTGACTGTAAAATATAGTTCATTATGAATTAGTGGCTGCAATTAAAACTAGAAAAATAGATCAATTATCGATTCTTGATCTGGATGTTGATTAATCACATAAACTATAGTTAATAATTTCTGCCAGAAGCAAGAAAATTCGTCACACTTTTGTCCTCTTCATTAAGTACATATTTATATACCTCCCTAATTTCTTCTCCTCCCTTATCAAAACGTTGTAATCTGCCATGGAGATCAGACGCCGACCAGACATCACAATTTTGTTGTCTAATACACACAATGATGCAACAACTGCCCTCTAAACTACACCTAATCCCAAGCCGCTTTCAGGTTTCTCTCAAAAATATTGGCTTTGTCCATCTTTTGGACAGCCAGATAATCCCAACATTGTCATTATGTAACGCAATATTTTTCAATACAGTCAACCTTATTATTAATATCATTAACATCATCATCATCTTCATCTATAATTATTTTTAATATAAATATCATAATTGGAAAGGATTCCTTCTCTCTTTCTTTCCTCCGCAGATCCATGATTGATACTAATAAGCCCTTAATTTTATCACTAATCTTTGTCAATAGAGAAAATGGACAGATGAAGTTAGATGGAATGGAGCTCTCGAGGGTGACGAACCTGCTGAGCAGCAGCAATACATCAAGGTTCATGCATATATATTGCGAGACTGATTAAGACCCCTTGCACTTTTTCCATAATTAAAGCATTTTTTTCAACTGAATTTATAGAGTATTAAACCTGCCGAAGAGGCCAAAATGCCATGGCTTTTAGGTTAAGTTCTTGATTCGAGTTTTGTTTAATTAAATCCGGCCTCATTTTTTCCAAGAGTAAATTAGGTTTGGAGAAAAAAAAAAAAAGCAGCTGTCCCTTTTGTTAATGACGTTGGTCTTCTAGGGATTAGTCGTTTCATTTGGTTTGAATTATTAAAATGGGGTGGCTTGTAGCTGGGATTCAGTTCTAGATCACGTAACATCATCAGAAGAAAAGATTATAATTGTTGTAAATTAAAATTTTGGGGTCGTTTTCAGGAGCTAGGTTATTGAATCAGTTCGAAAGATTTCGTGTCAGCATCAGTCTTGTAATGTTAGAATTTGACTAAATAAAAGCAAGTTTAATTTTGCTAATCTAATTTAATTAATAAATGAAGCCAACGACCTGAATAGATTAGTTACACTTCAGTTGAAAGTAAGAGATTTTGAGTTTAAATCGTATGGTATATGGGTAGGATGAAATAAGAGATAAGAAAGAGTTGCCTCCAATTATACAATCAATATAAAAAAAATAAATGAAAATTGTTATTAAAGAATGCTTGTATTACTTTCCAGAATTTAGGGTCATTGATTCCCCAAAATTCTGCTGAAAAAAAAAGAAAAAACAGAGAAAATGACAATTTAATTCTCTAAATCTATGTGGATGTTCAAAGTTTAATCAAATCAGAAAGATTTTAATTTTAAAGCACACTTTTGACTACTAAATAAAACAATTAAAAAAAGGTGTTGATGGCACCGGGGCTTCTAGACTTTTAGCCCCATTGATAAGATGCGTCATCTTCTTCACTCTTTTTTTTTTTTTCTTCCTTTTTGAACATCAACAAGAAACATCATCTTTTTTTGAAAAGAAGTTTGAATTTCTCCTAGAAGTACAGTTCTAAACATTTTAAAAAATGGAGTTGGTGGCATGAATAAAAATGAGGGACCGAAACCTAAATGGATGACAATATGTTTTAAAATTATGGTCATGATTTGCGAAGGGCATCTAATGAATCCCTTTGGAATCTATCAATTTTGTTTGATTGAATGGGTTATCTAGAGTCAAATCGTGAAAAAAAAAAAGGAAAAAAAAAAGGGGGCTCAGAGACAGCCCTCGCCCTCTGGCAGCAGTGGTGGAACCAAGGCTCAATGGTGAGTGGAGCCTAATTTGTCTCGAATCATTAGCATGTTTTGTTTCTGCGTTTTTCAAAAATGGGAAATGGACCAAACAAGATCTTGTATGATTGAGGTGGTGGTATAACTTGCATATAAAGCTCTTTCGAAATGAATCAACTTAAATCAATCGCAAGGGATAAATGTTTGAAATATCAAAATTTGAAGTTTCAACTCAGGGTTGGATAGGCATACATTCTCAAAGCTTAGGTTTGAAAAGAGATTCACATATCTGTTGTATACATTAAAATATATACTATAGTTTCTAATCTATATGATTATAATAATATTATATATTTCTATATATTATAATTGA